CAAATAACTCCAAACGCACGTTGATTCTAAATGCGGAGGTGGGGGAAACCGGAGGACGCGGACTAAAATCCACGCAACCACGGCGGAGAGAGAGACACGCAAACCCCAAATGTACAGCAGGCGTCACGACCTCCTGTATACCAAGCGAGGCAGTTAACATCTCGCCGCTGCATACGAAGCAACTCGTGAGAGTGGTATGCTCATTGCACGCAGACTCCTTTGACAACGGCAGAGAAGAAGCCAGTGGGGGGGGGGAGGGGGGGGGCCTTCGCTCATTTCAATGTCCACCAAGATTCCGAATTAAAGCCAGGTGAAGGCGAGAGCCTTCTGATCGGCGAGTGTTTTAAAGAGCCTGCCGTGAAAGCCGCATTACAATTTGCATTAAATGTAACCTTTTTTTAAATCTCCAAGAGTGAATAATGGCAGCAGAGGGCTTAGATGAGAGAGAGAGAGAAAAAAAATGCCTGGCTGGTTAAGCAGGGAAATCCTCTGGAGAGGTGAGTGAAAGGAATGCATTGATCACGACTTATCAGGAGAAGCCCTGTCAATACATGATCAATGCATTTCTGTTAGCCAGGCCCCCAAGGCACCGAGCCAAGAAGAGTTTAATGTGCAGTTGTAATCTGTGGCTAAGACGAATTTGCTTTGCCACGAAGATTGGAAGTGGTAGCAGATGCAGCTCGATGCGTATATCTGCGGTAGGAATGCTGTAATATTGTTACGATATCAGGTTGCATATCTGATTCGCTGGGGACCGAGGTATAGGCGAACCTGTGATATCAGATACGTGAATATCTATGGTAAATGATGCCTACACATTAAACGTGGTAAAACGCATTACCGTCTGGAACGCTGTTCCTTCTGATAATAGGGAGCTATGCTCTTTTAAATCATCGAGATTGAAAACTCATTTCTTTCGAAGTACGTTTTGTGTTTAGTTTGTTGTCCTTCCCCCGCACCGCCGATAACCACGGTTGGCTATGTGCGGTGCGAAAGAAGTCCAACATACATACATACTCTAGAGAAAAAGATATGTAAGTGAGATTTATAAAGGCCAACGTATATTAACTTTGGTTGTGAAAGTTACGCACAGTTTTGTGAAACTACATTGGCAGTGGTGTTCGAGCAAAAAGAACACAAATGTATACACATTCGTTGGTCATGCCGTCCCCTTAAGCGGAAAACATATTTAATCGGTGACCTTTCTGGTAATAGTCCTTCTTCGTCGTGAGATATCCTCTGCCCTCTTTCTCGCAGCTGTGCCATGGACAACGGGCATTGCCACAAAGATCGCCTGCCGTGTAAATCCTCTTCATAAGGGCAGCGTTGTTGCCGTTCGAAGTAAAGTAGCAGCAGCAGCAGCCTGTGCATTCCTCTCCTGTCATTCCTTCACTGAGTGACCTATGAGATACGACCTTTGACCTTTGTAAAAATTGAGGCTCCAGAGGGCTGGCATTAACAAACTTAATTATTTATGTCGGGCAGATTCGCCGGGCAGGCTAACTCGCTGAAGCCAAGGTTCGCCGTTGGAAGCCTTTTTAAATCCTTTATATTAAGTTCGCTTGCTTGCTTGCGTGCTTGCGTGCTTGCTTACGACCGTTCAAATCTTTCGGTCGTTTTTAACCCACTTCCCGTGATCCAATCGAGCTGACATTTTCCACACAGACTCGTTGTGCGTGACAATTAATTTTCGTGAATTTTTTTTCAAAATTTTACACTGTTTAGGGGAAAGTAAATTATTATTTATTTACCAATTGCTTAATGCTGGCAGACAATCATCTGACCCATAGGTGGCAGCCATCTCAAGGCAGAGGACGAGCGGACTCTAGCCGCCACGCAAATAAAGGATTTAGAGTGAAAAACTTTGTTTTTACGGGCTAATTTTTTTCTTTTACTTTTTTTCCAAAAGCGGCCATCAAATGACATCTACTCGCTCGCACCGCTCCGGCATCGCTCCGGCGGCGCCGGGCGCGGCGACTCGGACGTCAAAGAGCACAACTGGTCGGCTGAGAGAGACGGACGCGGGGATTCTCCGCGGGGATCTCCGCATTCGTCCATCTGCACCGGCGACTCTCCCGCACGCACCGCGGACCGCCCCGAGCAAATCCCGTGCGGTAAACTGTGAACTTCTTTCGCGCCGTACGTAGCCAACCGTGCTCTTCAGAGGTGCTCATCTCTCTGCTAGGGGTCTCTAGAGGGCCACTCTCGGTCACATTTCGGCCTCCTATAAGCTATTTAAAAATATATTTTTATTTGACCAGATAAAGGCCCTCTTGAGCCATATAGCATTTTTTTTTTGCAGAAAGCGAGCTGGCTATCACAAATGACAGATCGACGAAGTGGCTTATCGTCGCAGCAGCAAAATACTCTAAACGCGTGATGTTGATTCGACATGTGGAGGGAAAAACCGGAGGACCCGGAGAAAAATCCACGCGACCACGGAGGGAGAGAGAGACACGCAAACTCCAAATATCCAGCAGGCGTCAGGGTCGGGATCGAACCCACTACCCACTACCTCCTGCGCACCAGGCGAGGTAGTTAACATTTCGGCCACTCTGGCGCCCCTTGTAGTAAGATCCCGTGTCTCTCCACGTGTCCCGACTGGCTCAGGGTCGTCCTCTTGTGACGCAGCTGTCCTCGGTAATCTGCGACTCCTGCCGAGACATTAAATGCCCCATGCAACGTTTGAAAAACGACGCAATGCTCCCCCCCACCCCGATCCACAAACACTAAAGGACACATCACTCGTGGATACACCACGCTCCTCCTGACGCGGTTGTCTGGGCTTGACCGCCTGAATGTGAAATTGTCGTCGTCGCTCTGCATCCGCATCGGCCAGGCGAAGGAAGAAGATTAATTGTCGCGCTGTTTGTCAGCTGCGTATTAACACACCGCGCAAGATGACGCATTTACACGGAGGTTCGTCCCTCTTCTGCCATTGTCAGATATTCTTATTCCCCATGATACGTCCCGATTTTGTACCTCAGAGGTGACTATTTTTTGTTTTATATATATATGTTTCTATTTTAAACCCTATCCACAGCACGCGATTACGCAGGACCAAGCTCAGCACTCAAATCAATTCACCTTTGACCTGGGAGCTAAGCGAGCGTGTTCGCGTCTGGGCCACCCACCGTGTACGCGTGTGGCTGCACGAGCCACTTGGCAATCCACTGCTGGATGAGGGCCGCGCTGGTCAGCGCCGGTCGGGGGAATCTAGGAGCATAGACACTGGAGCATAGTGCAGTACAACAATGGCGTTTGCTGCAGCACTGCCCTCTGCTAGCAAGGCAGCCCAACAGTCCGTCCAAACATCAGCCTCAAAATTAAAAGGTGACGGGCGAGGCAATTGTTGGGATGCAGGATATCTCTTACATTTTATCTCACTGTTGACACTGAGGTGTATTCGGCGAGTACAGTTGTAATACCATCATGGCCACCTGTGCCACTGTAGAATCGCGCAGGATTGATATGCCTCAGGGTGCTTGTTGGCAGGTAGAGTGTTGCCACCTGTCCAGGTTTGGGCGGCAGGAATTTATTTGCGTCGAGATCGGGTGGAATTGCGTTGAACTTGATTACAGTTTACGTACTGCACAGTTTTGAGAGACCTTGTCTGACCGTGATATGCGTCCCGGTTTGGTTGATGGTGGGGGGAAAGGTGTCAAATGTGAATTTAGAATTTGATTTGAAGACGGCCGGGCTAATGCGGCGCTTTATTTTATCCTTCCGGGATTTCTCATCAATGGAGACAAAACTGCGCGGATATTTCACATTCATTTTCCGCTGTTAGAATGTGTTGGCTTTGTGTTTTAACGGTGTTCTTGTAGCGCAGTGTTCGTCACTAATTTTCAGAGGGGGGGGGGGCACTGTCGCCGATAAGACATCATCAGTGTAAGGGGCTCTTCACAGAATTTAGAGACTTTATATAACCAAACGAATATTATCAGTGGACTCACAGGCTTCCGACGCACACACTTCAGCCCATGAGGACCTTTTTTTGCGAAGAGCCAGAGGCAGCTCGTTTAGGAGAGTCAAAATAGGAAATGCTTCCAAATGTGATCTAATAATATAAATACATATTGCTTTTTAAATTGAAATATTTACTCTTGATCAGTGTTCTTCACTAAGTTTCAGAGAGGGGGCCATTTTCGCCGATAAGACATCATCAGTGTGAGGAGGACCGCCGCACATTTGAAACCGTTGGTGGTTTGACAGCAGCATGATGAGGATGATGATGATGAGGGGTGGTTTCACTCTTTGTGTACTTTCGGGGGCCGCACTAAAGGCCACCAGGGACCGCACAGTGGCCCGCGGGGCCTTGCAATGAAGGACGCTGATGTCGCACATCCACGAGTGCTGTGTGGACTGGTGGGATTTCGTTGGCACATCATCAGCCACGGAGACGGACGCCTCGAAAACACGTGGGTGCGTGCACGCGCGCGTGCAGTCTTCTCTGCAAGCGACGTCATTCATTCAGTGCGGCCGCGATCCATGTGGCGGAAAATAGGACGGCACCAGCTGAAGAAGGATTGGGCACAGCAGAGAGGGCTTGGCAGCCCAGACGACAGCAGCAGTTGGTAGAAATCTGTTTCCACTGCAATGGGCACGAGCGGAATGTTGTAAATATAAATTCATGTGAAAGCTGTAGTGGAGCTGTGTCAACGTGTCTGGTGGGAGGTTGCTTCGACTCAAGCCGCACGACTGTACACCAATTAAAACATTGTTTGTTTCTGCTTTTAATGGCTCATACACGAGAGAGGGGGTACCGTTTGGGTAAATGATGATGGGTTGTTTACCCCTGGTCTCCCGCGACGCGTTCGCCCACTAATGAGAACATCGTAAATTGGCAGCCCAGGCATCAGGCGCCCTTCAAGCTGAGGGCATCGTTTGGACTGTGGGGAGGAGAGCCTCTGCCATGTTGGAACCTCCTTGGAGCTGTAGAATCCACACACACAAAAAACACCCCCAAAACACTTTGCAAAGTACCGCAAATGCACTCCTTAAGGAATTTTGAAACGTGGCATTTATACACAGATATTTACACTTACATCAGAGTAAGGTATACTGCCAATCGCATGCAAACATGGGCAATCACACATTATGTATTTAAACCAATCTAGTGCGTCATAAAATTGGTTTACAGTAAATCGTCGTTTCATTGATATTTGGACGGTTTACAATGTACACGTGTCCACGGACCTTTGTTAAAGATTGCCTCTATGGCTCTTACGTACATATATAAAAGTGTTATAGGGCAAGGCTCCTTCACAACGGTGTTGTGTGTGTGTGCGTCTCGATGAGCAACGCCACTCTTTGTTAACGGTGAGCGCGGCTAAACAAGTGTGGTGCCGTATTTCCGAACGCTCCTTCAAAGAGACGATACATTCCGGCTGTTGTGCGAATATCCTGAATCCGCAAAGGCTATGACACTGGATCATGCCGTATCATGAGTATTCCTCCCCCCCCCCTTCCTCAAAATGTTGTGGCTATGATTATTATTACCACCATCGTCTTCGCGACATGTTTCATCCATGAAAACTATATTTCGATCGAGGCAATGTCCGAAAGAAACATTTTCAAAATCATGCACTTTTGTAAGATATTAAAACGTTGGGTACGACCCGAGGCTTGGACAAAGTTTCTCCCTTGGCAACGGTGATGGGATGGGGAGGGGGGATGGAAAGGAATCAGCGGGCCCAGCCAACATAATTTTATTATGATGTAGCGTTGCCCCCCACATGTTTCTCTCTCTCTCTCAACAGAGAACTGAACAGGAACCAGAGGCGGATCGAGAATCTTCCCAAGGCAGGAGGGGGGGGAGCAGAAAAATGGGAAGCTTCGTAGAGGCCCCCATAAGTTAATGAATGAAACATTCTACGAATTTTATCAGTGATCCCATCCGCTCCATCTCCGTCCTCTTCTTCCCCACCCCCTCCCACCGTGGACCCGCTCGTGACAGCGGCGTTTGAGCTGTTCGCATGCGGCTCAGCGTCAATGCTGGGACGCGCACGGGATCTGCGGTGTTCAAAGAAACGCGCACCTTGCACGCCGCACCTACAAACAAACAAATGAGCCATAACACAGAGTGGAAAACGTTTCAATGTTAACCGGCACGCCAATGTGCGTACGTTGAACTTCTTTCGCGCCGTACGTAGCCAACCGTGCTAATCGGAGGTGCGGGATAATGACCTGTATGTATGTATGTACGTCCAACTTAAATTTCGATTTAAAGCTTTCGTGACTGCAGGGATTCATCACATTCAGACTCTGTCTACTCGATAGACCTGCTCTCCACCTGATGACGGCTGCTTGCGTTGTGGCCGAAACGTCGTGAGAATTATTTTAATATGTTTTACTTTTTATAACTTTATTGTTTCCATTCTACGTGAATTTACCGAAAGAACCAAGAAGATACGTCCAACTTCTTTCGCACCGTACGTAGCCAACCGTGCTAATCGGAGGTGCGGGAGAGGGGATTCAGGACAGCGACGCTGAAACACGCACACAAAAACTGCACCGAAACACACGCGAATGTGTGTGTGTGTGATTGGTGAATGTGAAAATTCGGACCGTGGAAGTAGCCGAGGTGACGTCTGCAGAAGATCAGAGAGGCCTGAGAGTTTTCCGCGCTCGTACAAACCGCGCTATGAACTTCGCCGGATCGTGGCCAAAAAAAACCGGAGCGAAAGTCGCCGCATTTTCGCGCCGGTCGCCCAACAACAAAAAAAACACAAAAAAGATCGAACGCCGAGCAAACGATGAACAGATGTTGACCACGAACGCCGGGCACGACCCATCAATGAGGACTGACAACCAAGCAAGAGCTTAGGGCCCCCCCAAGTATCTCAAGGGGGGGCCCCCCGGGTTCAGGACGTTTGTACGTATGCACGCACGTGTGTGCTGAACTTCTATCGCACCGTACGTAGCCAACCGTGCTAATCGGAGGCGCGCGGGAAGGACATAAAAACTAACCACGAAAAACAGGTTCTGAAAATAAATACATAAAAACTCATGACAAAACCTATGGATGCATCAAATGCCACCTCGAATTTAAAACCGCATGAACATAACAAGCAAACTCACGTGACCCCCCCCCCCTCCTCCCAATTCATCTCATCTTTCTATCTTGTCTGCATTGAAACATAAGAATGTTTAGCTTCATATAGCGTCGTCGTCGGACATGCAAATTGCATCTCTCTCACAATTGCTGAGAAACCGCACAGACCAATCCAGGGCACGCAGCCAGGCTAGCAGTTGTTGCTCCAAACGATCAGCATCGATGACGATCAGAACATCTCTCCTGTCGCGTCTCACCACATCTCTACTTTAGTCGACATCAGGGTTATCATCTTCTTGGTTCTTTCGGTAAAGTCACGTAGAAGGGAAGTAATAAAATAATAAAACAAATATACGCTCCAAGCTTGGTGGTGTTTCATTCTTCACCTGAGGATGGCTGCTTGCGTTGTGGCCGAAACGTCGTGAGAATTATTTTATTATGTTTTATTTTTTATTATTTTATTACTTCCCTTCTACGTGACTTTACCGAAAGAACAAAGAAGATGAATCCCTGCAGTCACGAAAGCTTTAAATCAAAAAATCAGGGTGATCGGCAATCTAAATAACAAGAAAAGCAGCGGGTTTTTTTGTTCGACTTCGGTACAAAATTCAATATTTCAAGAGCCACAATGCACGTGAATGCGTAACACGCCTGCGTTACGTCACGTCACGAAGCAGTCGTTAAAGAGCCGCAGGTTTCAGACCCCTGCTCTACATCTTTATAATCCCACGTCTCGATTTAAAGCTTTCGTGACTGCAGGGATTCATCTTCTTGGTTCTTTCGGTAAAGTCACGTAGAATGGAAATAATAAAATAAAAAATAAAAATCATAATAAAATAATTCTCACGACGTTTCGGCCACAACGCAAGCAGCCGTCCTCAGGTAGAGAACAGGTCTGTCGAGAAGACAGAGGTCATTCAGAGGTCATTCAGACTCTGTCTTCTCGACAGACCTGCTCTCCACCAGAGGACGGCTGCTTGCGTTGTGGTCGAAACGTCGTGAGAATTATTTCATTATGTTTTATTTTTATTATTTTATCATTTCCATTCTACGTGACTTTACCGAAAGAACCAAGAAGATGAATCCCGCATCTCTTCTGTCGTCTCACCAGCGCTTCGTAGATTGAAAGGGACCTTCTATGAGAATGTCTGCTCAGAGCCCCCCTGAGCTGACAATCAATAACAGGAGGGGCTTCAACGCTCATTGGATTCCTGCACGAGGAGGAATCCGAAGCGCTGTGAAGCTCGTTTTCACAGATGTCCAGTAATGGGCGGGTCGGCATGCTCTCGACTGCAACCGCAGACAATCTGGATCCCATGGAAGAGAAGTGGACATTGAAATCCAGGCTTATTGTGACAAGCATCACGCACTGACCGTGCGAGCTGCTTTTACACTTGCGCTATATAAACGCACAAACCTTTATGAATCAATAGTCAAGCCCCATTTAGGCTCTTACGCGAGCCAAGAAACGCATATTCCGTTTTACAAATTGCACATTAATACCAGACAGTGTCTGTAAAAGAACGGCTCATAGTAACTCCGTCAAATATTATGATTATTATTACTACAAGTTACTTCATCCAAGAATGTGCTTGGACTAATCAGAGCAGTTTACGAGAGCGTGGGGGATCAATACACTGTGGTTAGACTCAACATTCAGGTTGCCGCGGCCGATCTCACAAATCTTAATTACTGTGATGGTTTTATTAACATTTTTCTCTTTTGCCTAAAGCCACGTGACCATCCGGCCATTGCGTTGTGTGAGAATTTGTCTTTGACTTAAACGCTGAGCCGGAACGAAAAGAATTGGCGAGGTGAACACTTTGTACGCGTGCAGGGTGGCGGAGGGTCTTGACGACACAGACATTTGGCTAAATTATACTGGTAGGAACCTCCTGGTTCCACCAGCCCACAGGGGATTATTGTGTCCGTCCGTCCTTCGTGCATCCAAAAATGGGAGGGATGGGGCTGGGTGGAGAGGGGAGGGTGGGGAAGGGCTGGGTGGGGAGGGGCTGGGTGGGTGGGGAGGGTGGGGAGGGGCTGGGTGGGGAGGGTGGGGAGGGGCTGGGTGGGGCGGGTGGGGCTGGATGGGGGTTGGTTGGGGTGGGGCTGCGTGGGGAGGGGCTGGTCACCCCGTGGTGCCCTTATAAAACTCAACGTTTAACCTACTCACGCCGGCTTGTGCCCGCCCTCACAGTCGGGCATATTTGCGGAATACACCACGCCGCCGTTGATCCTGGCCATTGACCGAGCAACCCAACGTTCCTTCCAGCTCCCTCCGCAGGAATGTGTTTGACGCGGCCCAACCCGCAGAGTCACCGATGAGTCGCTGTGAGTTTCCGAGTTGTGGCCGTCACTGGGAGCTGTCCACGTGTCACTGTGGCCGGACCAATCCTCCACACCGCCTCCACGGGCTCGTTGAATTTTTGCCATTCAGCATCTCGCGATTTGATCGTAAAAATATTGTGTTGTTAACATTGCTGTGAATGGTAGCGCCTCTGGTCGCTGCAGGGGTTGTGTGAACCCATTAAATGCAAAATGGGACCTTTTTGCCAGTATCAAAGTATGAAAAAATAAGAATAGGTTTTACCTTTTCCGGAAATTAAACAGCAGGTGTTCAGATGTTCAAACACCAAATAGAAACCTGAGACTTAGGCCCTAAAGAAGGCAGTCTCTGGTGTAGGCCAATCAGTTTCAGAGACAAAGTATATATAATCAGAGCATGTTTGTTTGCATGTTCCCCACAAGTAGTGTGTGTGGTTCATGTCGACTTGACTCTTTGCAAGAGGTTTCTATTTGGTGTTTGAACATCCTAACACCTGCTTTATTGCCAGAAAGGATAAAACCTATTCTTATTTTTTCCATTACACGTACAACGGATGTAAGCATCGATTGCGATCTGGTACATATGCAAAACCCTGCCTTGTTAAAATGTTTCATAATAGAGGTTTCGATTTAATAAAAAACCAAACAAGAAAGAGCAGCTCTGACAACCAAAACAGGAGCTGTGATCTCCATGAAACTAAAAACGGCTTCCCACTGCCAGAGTTTCAAATCAAGCGTATGAATGGAAACAAGGCCTTGTTCATTATTATTATTAAAATCGGTTTCGTTTGGGTCAGAAAAGTGCTGGCACAGTGCACGCTCCCACCACCCGCCACAGACACGCAGACAAAGTTTGCCGCGTGAGCAAAGTGCCAACTTTCACGGCAACCAAACGCAACGCTGTGGTCCACCCGCTCCGACAGTTAACACGCTGGACTCCGCAGACGTAGCAAACGTGGGCGCAAGTTCCTTTAACCCTCTGCCTCTGTCCATCGAACGGGCGTAAAAGAAGGGGGGGCAGAGCGCAATGAGCCGGTCGGCCAAAGTCGGCGTGCGTTGGGGGGTAAATTGTGGTGTGAACCTCGTGGCACCTCTGCCGTGACGTCAGGCCAGTGTGGTAGAGGCAGAGGTCGCAAACGGGTTTTGATTCCTTACCCGTACCCGTACCCTGCCGCACCAGGGTCGCAAATGGGTACCCGTACCCGACCGGGTGCAGGTACCCGTTCTCTACCCGTACCCTACCCGAAATGAGTGACAAACGGTGACTCACCAGTGACTCACGTCCTACCCGTACCCGGCCGCACCAGGGTCGCAAATGGGTACCCGTGCCCAGCCGGGTACGGGTAGCCGTTCCCTACCCGTACCCGTACCCTACCCGAAATGAGTGACAAACGGTGACTCACCAGTGACTCACGTCCTACCCGTACCCGGCCGCACCAGGGTCGCAAACGGCTACCCGTACCCGACCGGGTACGGGTAGCCGGGTATCGGGTAGGGTACGGGTATCGGGTACCCGGTTGCGACCTCTGGGGAGAGGTAAATTTTTTTTTTTTAAATATGCAAGCAGTGGAGTGAGCAAGCACTTACCTGGCTGCATTCATCGACAAAGATGGATGGCAGAGTTCACCAGACAGCTGTAGCGAGGCTTTAAAATATATATATAAAAGAACGCACAGAAAAAGAAGAGTGGCGATTAACCACAGGGTGACTGAGAAATCCCGATACCCTTACATCTCAACAACGATTACGTTAATAACGATGTAATAGTTTTGGGTAAATTAATTATATTATTATACCCTGCCCAACCCTGTGCGGACACTGCATAGTACAGTCTTGTCGATGTATATAATATTTAGGCAAATATATGTAACGCGTATACATGTCTCTTTCTCAATGTTTAAACATGATTATGTCGTAAGGCCAATTGTTAATATGATTTCCTGTGACGGTTCAACATCGTCCATGGACCTTGGACAATGTTGCACGTGGCATGGACCGACTTGACAGTAACACTGTACGTTTCTGGTTTTACTTTTTTTCATTCTGGAAAGAAACGCTTCGAGTGGTAAATTAAAAACAGTCTTCGCTCGCTCGCGCGCGCGTGTGTGGATTTAATTATTTTTAAGCGTGGTGCCATATTTTAACAAAAAAAACGATGTGCCAAAGAAACTTCTCGAATTTTGAGTCGAGTGTTCGGAAGTTTTACAACTGGCTGTCGGCTGATGACGCTAGTTGCAATTACTGGCGAAACGTCGTACTCAGATTGTAAACGTTGTGGCTTGGCTCTCCAACACACCGGTGTGCTGTACTAGTGACGAATTGGCATGTTTTGTTTACGTGACACACATTACTAATTGGCTGTGTCGGGTGGTGGCGGGTTTAACGACACATTTATATATTTACGCAATCTAACCCCCAAAAAACCTCTATTATGGAAGTAAAATAAAAATAAAATATGATTTTTATTTTATTTTTATTTAACTTTTATTAATTTGAATTTTTTACCTACGTGACTTTACCGAAAAAACCTAAGAATATGAATCCTTGCAGTTACGAAAGCTTCAAATCTAAAACTCTATGATGGAGTTTTACATTAACGAGCAATTGTTCACTTTCGTGACAATTATCATTATTGTATGTCGGCTCCCGGTAGCTGGCGGTGAACCCAAGTGCAAAGAAGGAATAAACACGCGCGGCCGATACCACCGCCCAACGAGTCGCCTGCCCATTTGTTTCGACTAAATGACGCAGTGGGGGCCGAGTGGACCCTTTGCAGTGACCCCACGACTCTTCGTCAACGGTCGATCATCTCAGCAGATCCACCCCGAGATGCCGCCACCGTTTAGACACAAGGGGAAGTTGCACTCCGATCCACGTGGCCGCCTAATTGCACACACACCTGGGCTCTATCGGAAGGCAAGTTGAACAATCGGCTTTGCAGTGCAGGTTGGACTGGTGTACACGAGTCATTGGCCAAAGATAGCATGGTGTAAAATAGGGACGCAGACACACTTTGGATGGAGGAGTCCCACCAGGGAATGGGTCCCGTTGGTTATTGGTTAGATTACCGATGTACACTCACCCGATTTTCGCTAATACTACCGTCAATTACTGCCCGCTGCTTGCGCGGTCGTCGACGCGATCGGAGTTCACGTCGCCTGGCTCAAGGAGGAGGAGGCGGCGACGCACGCGTGGTCTCAAAAAAACGGTGGTCGAGATTCGTCCGAATTGTTACGTCTCTTGGCCGTGTCCTACAGAACGTGCTGGCCGTGTCCGTACCCCCACAACAACAACAACCGCCATTCGCCACGAAGTGGCGGTGACGTCACCAGCACGCTTGTGCCAGGCCATGTGCACCTTGAGGCCACGTGAAGTGTCGAACGCCCACTGGCAGGAGGTCACGGGGAAGACCCAGGTGCCACGGGTCGACTGACTGAGATGACCGAGATGAATGGCTGATGCACTACCTGTGCCCCCTACTGTGCCAACCCCCACCCACCCACCACGACACGCACAATGGCTCTAGCCCTGATGCGAAGGCGTCTGTCCATGGACACTCACATTACACAGGGGGACTGATGAATTCAAAAAGAAAGACTGCATTCCATTGCCAGTCCATAAATATTATGAAGCTAAAATGGAGAAGGATAAAAAAGCAATTCTGTTTGATCCACTTTAATATACTGCACTTAAGCGTAACCGACGAGAAAATAAACACGAACAAAACTTCACCACGGTTCGAGGATAAACATAAATTATTTCAATAAAAAAAACGAATTGGTATCGTCACACTTAACCGTCCATGCGTACCTAGGAAACACGTGTAAAATACTTGCAAGATAAGGCAGCATTCACTGAACAGTACGACAACTTTGCATTTTCTGCAGAACACTTTCTTCTTCTTCTTCGTTTGGAGAAACAAACCAAAATAAAAACTCCCCCTGGAACTGGCCACGGGGCGTCTCTCAGACAAGCGACCGCTTCTGAGGATTCTAATTGCATGTGTTCATGGGGTTGGGGGGAGAACTAAAGAAATCCAAGCGTTGTTTCACCCCCCCCCCCCCATTCCTCTTTCTTTGATTTTGAAAATTCCACGGTTTACACGAGAGCAGTGCATGCTGGGAGAATCATCTCGTGGTTATTTTACCCAGTGAGCAGTCCGACAGGGTTTCATGAACGCCTCGCGAACGATTGCCATGCGGTGGGTTGACAACGACGCCCTTGGATAGTGCGATAAACACTTCGGGGTGACAGCAAGTGTCTCGGGAAGACAACGGTTCCTTTTGCGAGCGGACGGATGGCGTTATCGTCGTGCTTGTCGAGAGAAGCCACCGAGAGAGACGCCGTGGGGTGGAGCAGATCTCTGTGGGCTGATGGGCTCCGGCTTATCCGCATCCCCCGATGTGAGCACGGTTGGCTACGTAACGTGCAAAAGAAGTTCAACACACATACATTCGTACTGGCAGGCGCGCAAGAGGCTATTGTAGAGGCCTGGCGATAAGCAAAGGGCACCCAAAGACACACTGTTTGCAGTGAGCTATGGCCGAAAAAGCAAATTGCAAAACACAGCATGAGGAAGAATGTAGTCTAGCTTCGGCGATTCGTGTCTGCTATGTTTAGACTTGGCACCTCGGAGCTAAAATATCCAAGACATATCATGGGAAGAAAGGGATAGCTATTCGTGAATATATATCGTCTTTGTTTTGCCATGGTGTATTGTAGAGTGACGTCCCGGGAAGACTTACAGATGTTCCCAGGGCAACAGCTGCCTGAACAAGAGGAACAATCCTTGGAAAACCGGGACAGGTGGCAACGTAAGCATCACCTTCGCTACCTTCCCCCTCTGCACATTGAATGAACGAGCGAGAGCTGTCGATATGCACGGCCGTTCACAGTCCACGTCGTCGTAAACGCATTCAGCAACCATCGCATGACCTGGAATGCCGTCCCTCGGACCCTCGCTGTCACACGTGACAGAGATCATCGCATTGGCACGATTATAGCCAGCTTCCTTTACCCGGTTCTCCATCGCACCGCATTTCCCCCTGGAATCGCTCGCTAACTCTGCTGCACCGTTCTTGCATGAGGCGACGGCTGCCTCCTGCGAAACAACCACGGCTGGAATGCATTTTTTCTTTGCCGCCCGCATTTCCGACCGCTTCATCAGATAGCCTAGATGTCGTCGGATTAAATCGGTTCATTACATTCTTCATTACCCACGTGCACGAATGCAAACCGCTCGCTCCGAAACTGCCCCGTTGCAACTCCCCCCCCCCCCCCACCGCACCGCATCGCAATAGCTGTGCCGTAAGTTCAAACCCGTCGTGACATTAACACGAACCCGTGAATTTTCGCGTCACTTTTTCCATCGAGCCGGCCTGCATTTTCCCCGACATCGCCTCCGCGATTTGCCCGAGTCAGTTCGACGGCGCCGCGACGGCGTTTTTTTTTTTCCTGCCACGCCTGCGACTCCGTAAATAAACCGTGGAATGGTCAAGCCTCGACAAAGACGCGACAGCCTCGCGGGTGTCAAAGGGGGTCAGGGACACGGGGGTCACGGGGGTCACGGGGGTCACGGGTCGGGTGCCGCGGTGGAGCCGGGGACGGCCGGGCTGCATCCCAGCACGTCGGCCGGAGAGGCGAGCGGGCGGAACGCGAACATGGCCGGGTCTCGCGGGCAGCTGAGTCCTCCACCAATGCTCTGCAATGACACGGCGACACGCAACAGCTTGCTGATGTTTTTTGTGCCCGACTACCGAGGTGTTGGTCAATGTTAAACACTCAAGATCACCGGACGTCCGTAAAAAAGAGCTTCACTGCTCACCGGATTCTTCCAGTGGAAATAAAAAAAATGTTTTCAAGCGGGAGACGGCGAGAAAAGAAGTGTGGCATGGGAATGCAACTTTGCGGCACGCAATCATGTTTTATTTTGTTTGTATCAAAGTAAATTCAAACTATGTACGTCTGCGAAACAAGGCCTCCTTCACAGGAACAACCTCTGTGCCAGCCGCCAATATTCACGATGGCCCGCCTACAATCCATTCTGGGCTTGCCGAGGTTGGATTGTGTAAGAGGCTCAGAGATACTCGGATACACCTGGGCAATGTGCTATCATGCAAGCCACCGGCATGCCCTAGCAACTCCTGTTTGGCTGGGTAGGAGGAGAGTGAATGGGTGCGGTATGCCCCAAAGGAGCGATGGGCTAACGTGCACCAAGACGACCGAGTGAACTTGTTAACATTTGATATCAATGGTATCAGCGATCCACCTCTGTGGAGGACGCTTACGAAGGATGCCACTGTAAAGCGAGAGAGTGGCAGATGTCCTCCAGCCACAACAGTGCTACGCGAACCTCAGATCTGGGGAAGGTCACTCTGAGGAGTAACACAAAACCAACAATTTATTTAATTGAGCCGACAAAATCCTGTGAAACTCTTTGGCGAAACTATCGGATTCTGAGCGAGCATCTCGTCATTGCCAGCGTACTGATCGGATGGAAACGGTGATCCCTTGAGTCACGTAGCCGCCACGCAATATCAGTGCCAAGCAACGACGAACAACAGCGGGCAACGCCAAGAGCCGGCGTGAAGGTTCGTCTCCCAAACGGAAGGAAGGACGTGGAACTTTGTGTCTGCTGCCCGAATACGCCATTCCCTTCACCCATTGTGAGTCCTGTTGTACGATCAGATGGCAGCCCATTGATATACGATATCCTTTTGCGCTGTGTGGCTGGGCTTGAGAAACACTCAAGGAATAATCCATAGCTACGTAGTTACTCCTTGGGTCGATGGGCAAGTCAATGATTAATGGCTGATGCCACAATTCCTCAAAACCTGATATTTTCGGCAAAGCCATATGTGACTGCAGTGTGCCTCCATCTGCATAACGACTCCCGTTTACCGTCCGCACAGGGCTGATAGCTCTTGACGCAGCGGCACTCCACTTAGCCAGGGGCGCTGAAACGCACACCTCCAATTAACTGCATCGACAATTGATCAGTGGAAAATGACGTTATCCACCGGGCGCTATTTCTTCGCGTCGCTGTACAACGTTGCGTATCCCAATCGCCGGAAGATCGAGGAAGATCGAGGAAAAGACGTCGACGTGAAAGGGTCGAATAACGGGCACATATTCTGTGTAGAAATTACTACATCAGGTGGGTTGGGTAAGTCGCTATTAACATCTTTGCGTTTTCATGGACGAAGAGTAAGGCTCGTGTCAAACAGCCCGGGTCGAACGTCCTCGGTGCATCGCTGCAAGGGGCTGCTCACTGTTTTTGGATTTGTGTCTTCCTCTGGCAAGAAAGAAAAAGTTGATTCTATCAGATAAAAATATATTTGTATTTTTTTTCTCGGTCCAGTCTTACTGAAAAATTATACTCGTGAGTCTGGAACGCGACGGGACTGTCCTCTGCGCGAGCGTCACCGAGCCAGCAGATCGGAGGCAAAGGCGCAGCGCTGTAACAGCTCGCTTACGCCGCCGTTGGCAAAAGGGGCCCTTCCACTAGAGGACGCTACAAGGAGCTCCTTTAGATCGGTGTTTTGGCCTCCTCTTCCACACTGGCCAGACGTCTTGGAAGTGGTGGGAGAATACCCACAATTTACCCCACCACACTCTACCCCACCACACTCTACCCCACCACACTCTACCCCACCACACTCTACCCCACCACACTCTACCCCACCACACTCTACCCCACCACACTCTACCCCACCACACTCTACCCCACCACACTCTACCCCACCACACTCTACCCCACCACACTTACCCACCACACTTTACCCACCACACTCTACCACCACCACTTACCCCACCACACTCCTTACCCCACCACACTCTACCCACCACACTCTACCCCACCACACTCTACCCCACCACACTCTACCCCACCACACTCTACCCCACCACACTCTACCCCACCACACTCTACCCGACCACACTTTACCCCACCACACTCTACCCCACCACACTCTACCCCACCACACTCTACCCCACCACACTCTACCCCACCACACTTACCCCACCACACTCTACCCCCACCACACTCTACCCCACCACACTCTACCCCACCACACTCTACCCCCACACACTCTACCCCACCACACTTTACCCCACCACACTCTACCCCACCACACTCTACCCCTACCACACTTACCCCACCACACTCTACCCCACCACACTCTACCCACCACAACTCTACCCCACCACACTTACCCCCACCACACTCTACCCACCACACTCTACCCCACCACACTCTACCCCACCACACTCTACCCCACCACACTCTACACCCCACCACACTCTACCCCACCACACTCATACCCCACCACACTCTACCCCACCACACTCTACCCCACCACACTCTAACCCCACCACACTCTAAACCCCACCACACTTTACCCCACCACACTCTACCCCACCACACTCTACCCCACCACACTCTACCCCACCACACTCTACCCACCACACTCTTACCCCACCACACTCTACCCACCACACTCTACCCCACCACACTCTACCCCACCACACTCTACCCCACCACACTTTACCCCACCACACTCTACCCCACCACACTCTACCCCACCACACTCTACCCACCACACTCTACCCCACCACACTTTACCCCACCACACTCTACCCACCACACTCTACCCCACCACACTCTACCCCACCACACTCTACCCCACCACACTCTACCCCACCACACTCTACCCCACCACACTCTACCCCACCACACTCTACCCCACCACACTTTACCCCACCACACTCTACCCCACCACACTTCTACCCCCACCACACTCTACCCCACCACACTCTACCCCACCACACTCTACCCCACCACACTCTACCCCACCACACTCTACCCCACCACACTCTACCCCACCACACTTTACCCCACCACACTCTACCCCACCACACTCTACCCCACCACACTTCTACCCCACCACACTCTACCCCACCACACTCTACCCCACCACACTCTAACCCACCACACTCTACCCCACCACACTTTACCCACCACACTCTACCCCACCACACTCTACCCCCACACTCTACCCCACCAAACTCTACCCCACCACACTCTACCCCACCACACTTACCCCCCACACTCTACCCCACCACACTCTACCCCACCACCTACCCCACCACACTCTACCCCACCACACTCTACCCCACCACACTTACCCCACCACACTCTACCCCACCACACTCTACCCCACCACACTCTACCGAAACCCCACCACACTCTACCCCACCACACTTTAACCCCACCACCTCTAAGCCCACCACACTCTACCCCACCACACTCTACCCCACCACACTCTACCCCCCCCCCCACCACACTCTACCCCAACCACACTCTACCCCACCACACTCTACCCCACCACACTCTACCCCACCACACTTTACCCACCACACTCTACCCCACCACACTCTACCCCACCACACTCTACCCCACCACACTTACCCCACCACACTTTACCCCACCACACTCTACCCCACCACACTTTACCCCACCACACTTTACCCCACCACACTCTACCCCCCCACACTTTACCCCACCACACTCTACCCCACCCCACTTTACCCCACCACACTCTACCCCACCACACTCTACCCCACCACACTCTACCCCACCACACTTACCCCACCACACTCTACCCCACCACACTTACCCCACCACACTCTACCCCACCACACTCTACCCCACCACACTTACCCCACCACACTTTACCCCACCACACTCTACCCCACCCCCACATTACCCCACCACACTCTACCCCACCACACTCTACCCCACCACACTCTACCCCACCACACTTACCCCACCACACTTACCCCACCACACTCTACCCCACCACACTCTACCCCACCACACTCTACCCACCACACTCTACCCCACCACACTCTACCCCACCACACTACCCCACCACACTCTACCCCACCACACTCTACCCCACCACACTCTACCCACCACATCTACCCCACCACACTCTACCCCACCACACTTTACCCCATCACACATTACCCCACCACACTCTACCCCACCACACTCTACCCCACCACACTCTACCCCACCACACTCTACCCCACCACACTCTACCCCACCACACTCTACCCACCACACTCTACCCCACCACACTCTTACCCCACCACACTCTACCCCACCACACTCTACCCCCCACACTCTACCCCACCACACTCTTACCCCACCACACTCTACCCACCACACTCTACCCCACCACACTCTAACCCCACCACACTCTACCCCCACCACACTTTACCCCACCACACTCTACCCCACCACACCTCTACCCCACCCACACTCTACCCCACACACACTTTACCCCACCAACACTTACCCCACCACACTCTACCCCACCACACTCTACCCCACCACACTTTACCCCACCACACTTACCCCACCACACTCTACCCCACCACATCTACCCACCACACTCTACCCCACCACACTCTACCCCACCACACTCTACCCCACCACACTCTACCCCACCACACTTCTACCCCACCACACTCTTACCCCACACACTCTACCCCACCACACTCTACCCCACACACTCTACCCCACACACTCTACCCCACACACTCTACCCCACACACTCTACCCAACACACTCTACCCCACACACTCTACCCCACCACACTCTACCCCACCACACTTACCCCACCACACTCTACC